TATAAAAAAACAGCACTGGGAAAAAAAAAAAAAAAAAAAAAAAAAAAAAAATACGAAGACAGGTTCTCACTACATAACCCCTGTTGTTCAGGTTGTCTGTAGACCAGGCTGGCCTCAAACTCACAAAGATCCTCCTGCCTCTGCCTCCTGAGTGCTGGGATTAAGGCATGTGCCACCTCGTTTATTTATTTAGTAAATTGAAGGAAATTTACGTTTATTTGTGTGGTGGAGTGGGGGCGTGGTCAACCGAATGAAGAGTGGAGGACAGAAGGCAGCCTGTGGGAGTCTGTTCTACCTGTGGGTCCCAGGTATCAAACTCAAGTGAACAGGCTTAACACTAAGCACCGTTACTTTCTGTGCCATCTCACCTGCCCTCAATATATATGTGTATATCTGTCCTTAAACTCACAGAGATCCACTTACTTCTGCCTCCTGAGTTCTGGAGCTAAAGGTGTGTGTCACCTCTTTGGGTAAGTGGCATAATTTTTAAGGTGCAAAGTACCCTCCATTCATTTTAATAAGCCTCTACATAAACTGGAACTCTAAAAATGAAGAATTGTTGAGAGAAAAGGATTGTGGTGGGGAAATAGTAACTTGTTTTAATTTTTCATTTTTAAGGATTAAATTAATAAAGATTACTAAAGAGCATATTCATATTCAATGTATTTCGTTGTTCTTTATAGCTTCACTGCTTTTTTTTCAAGTGTCAATTTCTTCATTAAAAAAAAATCCCACCGCTGGGCAGTGGTGGAACATGCCTTTAATTCTAATACTTGGGAGGCAGAGCTCTAAGTTCAAGGCCAGCCTGATCTACAGAGCTACACAGAGAAACCCTGTCTCGAAAAGCCAAAAAAAAAAAAAAAAAACCCCTACCACCTAGTCTATAAAGTGAATTCAGTGATTCAGTGACAACCAGGGCTACACAGAGTAACCCTGTCTTGAAAAACAAAACAAAACTTGCTGTTGTCAGAAAAAAAAAAACCAGATTCAAACCAAACAAATTACAGTATAATTACTGTGGGAACCCAAGGGCTCTTTAATGTAGGAACATGAGTGTTCCACAGAACCAGAAGACTTGGGTTCTAATCCCAAGATTGTCAGTAAAGATGGAACTTTGGACAAGTTATTTAGTTATAATCAGTGTATATCTTGTAGGAAAAAAAAAAGAGATGAGCCTGGTCAAAACATGATTTTATACCTTCCAGACCTGTGGCGGGGTTTCTGTGGAGTAGTAGGTGTGTATAAGCCGAGACTATCATCACTCAGCTGTTTCCCTTACATAAAATGTGTCCAGGTGACTAATACATGATCTTTCTGATCCACTCGCCTCTGTTGGCTCCTTTCTCTGCCCTATTAACAGGAAACTTAATAAAGATGTGCGCTGGGCCTAGGGCTCAGTAGTAGAGTACTTGTTTAATGTCACAGCACCACACAAATATGGTGGCATGTTTTAATTTTAAAAATTGTTTTTCTAGTTACAAATAGAATATGAGTTCATCTGAAAAATTTAGAAAACAAAAGTGAGAGTAAAGGCAAACACATAAATACAAACACAACCTTACTACTATAAGAAAAGCGTGGTTCTGTCTTCCTATGACTTTTCTGTTTTTACACACACAAACACACATGCACTTGAATGCACCATGGCATATTGTGAATGTAATTTGCTGACTTTTCCTCATGTTGTATGTATATCCCTACAGATAAATGGAATGCCCACAACTTTGTTCCCACATTAAACTCAAAAGTGAAGCAGTGTTATGTCAATTTTGGAACAGCTATAATTATATTATGCTACACATTTTTGTTACCATTTTTCTTTCTCTGCCCAGAATGGATTGGTTTCATTGCAACCAGTGTTTCCGAAAGGATGGGGCCCATTTCTTTGTCACCAGCTGTGGCCATATTTTCTGTAAAAAGTGTATGACTGTGGGTGAGTGACTTCAATTTATCCCCAAATGTTTTTTTAACTTAGACATAATGAGTAGCCATTTCTCTGTGTGATGTAGAATAAAAATCACTTGGTAGGCATCAGTGATAATGCAGATACTGTAGGTAGCTGTCCATTTTGGAAATTAAAGGAATCTATTAATAAAAGAGTGAATCTAAGTGATTTAGCAAATGTGTTAACTCTTCAGTGTTTTGAGTTGTGTCAAGAAAAGTTACAATGGGTGAAAAATGATGTTGCTATCTTGGAGTTTAATAAGCAATTTCCTATTTGTTTCTTTGTTTGGCAGTGCTAAGTATGGAACCTAGGGCTTTGCACATGCTAGGCAAATACTCTATCAAGGAACTACATCCCAAGCTCCCATACGATTTAAAAAATAAGTTAGTGTTTATTTTCAATAAACATACTTTTTAGTTTTTCCTGTTGTTTCTACTATATGACCTGACTGTCCTGAGTTCACAGTCTTCCTGTCTCAGCCTCTCAAGTGCTGGGCTTTCAGGTATGCACCACCATGCCCAGCTACTAGTACCAGTTCTGTCTAATCTTCACCACAGTCCTTGATAGCAATTACTGGTAGCACTATTTTGCAAATGAGGAAATCAAAGAATAAATGATGACCAACTTCTTGTAACTATCAAGTTTTGAAAGAAACTTGAAAACCAGGTGGCATGGTGGCACATGCCTTTTAATCCCAGCACTGGAGAGGCAAAGTCAGGCAGATCTTTGAGTTTGAAGCCAGCCTGATTTAACATGGTGAGGAGTTCCAGGCCAGCCAAAGCTACAAAGGGAGACCCTGTCTTAAACAAAGGAAACTTTGTTTGAAATGTTGGGAAATGAACTCAGGACCTCTGGAATGCTAAGCAAATACCCTGTAAAAATCACTGAATACTGGGAATACTGGGTGCAGCAATACTGGGAAAGCTGCACACCCCAGCATGGGGTGCAAGCTCCTTATATAGGAAAAAATCGCAGATCAGCATACAGGCAAGGGGCACAAAGTGACTGATTACAAAGTATGATCTCATGTTAGAGTGGTCACCCAGGTGTGATCTGCTTTTCTACAAAGGAAAAGCCACAGAATGTACCCTAGAAAGTCCCCGATTGTCTGTTAGCCAGGTGTGACCCAAAAAGGATTGTTGTCTGCCCTCCGGTTGGGGCCAATTTCCTTGTCCTGGGTCAAGGCCTATGGGAAACTTTTTCTCTCAGCAAACTAAAATTTTTCAGTTGCTCTTGCAGAGTTCATGGGTTTGGTTCCCAGTGCCCACATGGTGCCTCACAACCAACCATCTGTAACTCTACTTCTAGGAGGGTCTGATGCCCTCTTCTGGCCTCCACAGGCAGTAGTAGGCACACACCACATGTGGCATACATCCATACATGCAGGCAAACACTCGTGTGTAAGATAAAAACACATCTTTAAAAAAATTGCAATAGTAGCATGTGTAATGATATATGACATCATTAAACTGCAGTGCAGATGCTTCTGCAGAGTTGAGATTATGCAGAGAAAGCTAAAAATGGTGAAAGATGAAGCCAAAGAGGTAGGCAGTAGAAATCGATAGAAATTTCTGCCCACCAGGGTAAAGGTCCTGAACTGTTGCCCTGCTGCTTCTGGAGAGCTGTAAAAGGTTGCTTTTCTTTTAAGTAGAATGTTTTTCACTCATACTGAGAACAACATAGAGGGAAGACTGGGAAAGAAACTTTATTCCCAAAAGGAAAGACCAGTCGGGTTAAATAGTCTCTGAAGAACTTTTCCATGTGTGACCCTCATGATCCTTTTGAGTTATCTGCCGATGCAATGAGACTTTTCACTATGGTGACAGCAGCTCACTTTGGAGTGATTGTCTCTGAAGCGTAAAGCCATGTAATGCTTTTTCCTGGCATGGCATTTATCTTTTTTTTTTTTTTTTTAATGGATGAACCCAGGGTCTTATGCTTGGTAAACAAGTGCTTTATCACTCAACCTCATTCCCAACTGTGTGGCATTTATCTTAATCATCAGCACCTACTAATAATGCATTTGATAAGGAAAGCTTATAAATTTTACACTTTGCTTCTTTCAGATGCATTAGTTGAAGAGAAGGAAAGCTTCAGAACAAGATCTAAGAATACTGCATGAGCCAGCCACTTACAGTGCCCAGGGTGTGCCTAATGTCCGGTAGAAAGGATTAAAAAGAGTCCTGGGCTGGAAAAGTGGCTCAGTGGTTAAGAGCACTGGCTGCTCTTGTAGAAGACCCAGGTCCAATTTCCAGCACCTACATGGTGACTCACAACTATCTGTAACTCCAGTTCCAGAGGATCTGACACCTCTTCTAGTTTCCTCAGGCACCAGACATGCACACAGTACACAGGCACACATGAAGACAAAACATAAATCCTTTTTACAATTCACCTAGAGTGAAAATCATTGATATTCTTATATTCATCCCAAAACACCTGCAGATGTATTCCAGTACTTCTGTTGGCACAGTACATCCTCCCAGTAAATGTCACTAGTCCCAATATTCAGGAGGCTGAGAGACAGGACTGGGTTGCTACAAGTCCCAGGCCAGCCTGGGCTGCGTTTATGAGACATTGTCTCAAAAAGAAAGAAAGGAAAGAAAACAGGGAGATAAGCATAGTGCAAAGCCTCCTATTTCAGCATATTTGTTTGGAGATGGTGATTTTAGAGAACAGAGATTTAAGTTAGTATCTTTTTTTTTAAGATTTTATTTATTATGTACACAGTCTTCTGCCAGCATGCCAGCAAATGGCACCAGATCTCATTGAAGGTGGTTGTGAGCCACCATGTGGTTGCCGGGAATTGAACTCAGGACCTCTGGAAGAGCAGTCAGTGCTCTTAACCGCTGAGCCATCTCTCCAGTCTTTAAGTTAGTATCTTAATGATAATCACAATTTAGTTAAGAACCTGTTTCTTCTCTTGCTAGCCTACTTGAAAGTTACCACATACTTTGGGAAAATCTTACCTCCTGCCTTTGGAACAAATATTTTCTCCTTTTTCTCTTAGAAAAATGTGCTGTTTGTGGAAGTCGTTGCAAGCATCTGGCTCTTTCTGATAATGTAAGTTTTTACCTTCATTGAAAACTGCCTCATACAGTCCCTGACCAGTAGTAAGTATAGTCATAGATGATGAGTTGCTCAAAAAAAAAAAAAAAGGAAGAAACAATTTTGAAGATTGCAGTTGTATAAAATAGAGTCATTTTATTCCAGGTTCAGTATTTTCTTTCATTTTGTTGGGAGTATTCTCACTATGTATCTTACTTTCTTTATAGTTAAAGCCTCAAGAGAAGAAGTTCTTCAAAAGCCCTGTAGAGACAGCTTTGCAGTGTTTTAGTCACATCTCTCAGGTATGAGAACCAAAATGAAGAAAAGTTCTTACTGCTGCAAGCTCAAGGCCACCTTAGGCTATGTAATGGGTGCAGCTGGGTACATAGAACTCATGTCCCCAAGGACCCCTACTTTCTTTGAGACAGTTTTTTTTTTTTCAGTGTAGCCTTGATATCCTGGAACTCATTTTGTAGACCAGGCTGACCTCGAACTCAGAGATCTGCCTACCTCTGTCTCTGCTTGGATTAAAGGCATGCACCCACCACCGTCAGGCAAGAGTTTCTCTTTAAATTGTCTTTGTACACAGTGGAGAGAAACTGCTCTTTATTTACTTCCCTGATAGAAATCTCTACCAGTTAACTTTTTACTAACCTAGAATCTATGGTATGCTGTCAAAACCACAATCTAGTTGAATCTTGCTTTTAGTTCCTACTTCTAATAACAAGTTCCTGTCACTAAAAGGTGCCCTAAGGAACTTTATCTTTCTTTGAAAAGAGATACATTTTCTTAAAAATTGCATGTATAGGCCTGCAAAGAATGGATTTGTTAATTTCACTTGTGACCTTTTGCTTGTAGATGTCTTATTCTTCATTTTCATTTTTTAGTAGGCTTTGCAATAATATTTAACTTTATTTAGAGTTAACAACTAATTGCTTGAATGGCAGAAAATGTTTGCCTTTTCCCGATGCCTTGTATCTTGGTAAATGATTGACATGATCAGGAGTAGTTGAATATAGCAAAAGTTAGAAAGAAGGCAGTATAATTATTTGAGAGAGCTCCCAAGTTGTGAAGACTTTGCTTTTTTAAGTTTCAACTCTCTAGTTCTCTGCTGAGATGATTTTTTTAGCATATGGGATACCTCTCTTGGCATGCTTATCAGACTGGAGAGATGGTAAAGGCACCTGCTGCCAAGCTGACAGTCTGAGTTCAATCTCTGGAACACTCCTGATGGAAGGAAAAACTGCCTCACAAACGTTGTTCTCATACCACTGAGTGCTTGCATCCACACATGTGTGTGTGTGCACAATAAATAGGTAATTTAAGAATATTTCCTTTTGTTATTGTGCTGTTATTAGACCCCAGACCTTCTGCATGCTTATCAAGTACTCTATCATTATTGATAGATTATCTTTTTTATTTGCTTGTTGCCTTTAATGAAGAGCCCCCCCCCGTGTGTGTGTGTGTGTGTGTGTGTGTGGTGTGTGTATGAGAGAGAGAGAGAGAGACAGAGAGAGACAGAGAGAGACAGAGAGAGACAGAGAGAGACAGAGAGAGAGAGAATGTTAGGGGAGGGACATTTTAATATAACAAGAATGTGGAACAACTTGCAGGAGTCAGTCCTCCACTCTTGTTCCACTACATGGGTGCTAGGGATCAAAGTCCTGTCATCAGATTTGGTGGCAAGTGCCTTTCCTACTGAGCCATTTCTCTCTAACCCAAAGGCAGTGTCTCTTGTGTTCCAGAACTCAGAACTCATTATGTAGCTGAGGATGACCTTATATTTCTGACCCTCCTTCTTCTACCTGAATGCTGAGGATGCAAATGTTCTACCACTCTAGACTTAACATGTGCTAGGAATAGAACCCAGGGTCTTATACACTCTACCAACTGAGCTACAGCGCCAGCATATTCTTTTTTTTTTTTTTAAGAAAGAATCTCACTTTGAAAACTAGGCTAGCATTGAATGCATGATCCTCTTGCCTCTACCTCTTGAGTGTTGGGATTATAAGTATGTACCAAAAACCACACTTCGCTATAAACATTCTTTTCCTTATTCTGGGAGTTGAGCCCAGAGTCCCAAACATACCAGGTAAGCTGTCTATCAGTATCAGTTCTTATTCTTAAGATAGTACAATTTTTTTGAGACAGGCCTCATTGTAGCTTAGGCTGGCTTTGAACTTCCCAGATAGCCAAGGATGACCTTGAACTCACGATTGTTCTTTCTCCATTTCCCAAGTGTTAGGATCACAGGCAAGTCCTACCACAACCAGCTTGAGTACACCTTTTCTAAACATGGCAATTATCAGCAGTGTTTCCCCAGTCCCCAATGTCAACTCTGGAAATAGAGTAAACAGAACTAGAGCTTTAGCTGTATGCTGTCTTAGTCACTTGGATGAGCCATTATATTTGAGATAACTACATTTAATGTTGTGAGTAAATAAAATCCAGCTGAGACTCAAGGAGAAATGTAAAAGAGTTCACATGAACAAGAGAAAGAGCAGACCTTTGGTTAATATTTAAGCCCTTGGTTAATGATCAGTTAAGAAATTATGTATAGCCTGAATCTTAACCTGCCTAATCATGGGACCAATTATACATGGTCAAATAATCAAGATAAAATAAATAGAAAGGGTCAGTTAATCATCACTTTAGTGAAGGATCATTTTGGTGAAGTCAGCAGTCTGGAAATGTGTTTTCCTATGTGAAGTTGAATAACTGAGGTGATACCTACTCTTAAACTGTCTCACTCAAGGTTCTGCTTAAAGTTTCTTTGTCCAGAATTACCTTAACTAGCATCTTACAGTCAGCTCCAGCACCCTCTGATTCTTGTGTTATTTTTCATCATAGCTCCTGTCTCTACCATTGTCTTGTGTATTTATGTATTGTCTGAATCCTGCACTGAAATGCAGCTCTAGGAATACAGAAATTTGGTCAGTTTTGTTTGCTGTTCTTTTTGAACAGTTCCTAATATGGAATGAACATCCAAAACATTGTCCTTAAATGAACAAATGGACTGTTGCTCTAAATGTCCATTTCTGTTCACTATAATAACCCAACAAAGACATTTTTCTGCTCTGTGCTAATTGTTGATAAAACTGCCTGTTTTGAATGCTTAACTCACTTCTAAACTTTTTAATGGAATTGAAGAGCCCCTGAGGACCTGCACATTTCCTTCTATTCCTAGATCATAGACCCCCTACCTTTACCTACAACTAGGCACCTTTCAAATGTGTTCAGTATTGTTCCTTCTCTAGTAAAAGCCTTCCATGGTTTCTGTAACACAATTTTGTCTTGTTTTTTGTACCCTATATTGCTTTTAACTCTGCAAAATACTTAATTCTGAAAATATGATTTACTTGTTCACATGTCTGTTTTTCTCACTTTTCAAAGGCAGATGCATCTTTGTAGCACTCAGTATGTTACTAGATGCCTGACCCACATTATGTTAATAATATATGCTTTGTAGAGCCAGGCGTAGTGGTATACCCCTTTAATCCCAGCACTGGGAAGCAGTGGTAGGAGGACAATCTCTGTGAGTTTGAGATCAGCCTGGTCTACATAGAAAGTTCCAGGACAGCCAGGACTACATAGAAGCATCCTATCTCATAAAACAAAACAAACAAAAAATAGAAGTGCTTGTAAGTGAATGAGTATGTAAGACAAGTTAAGACAAGTTATTTATTTATTTGGTTTTTCAAGACAGGGTTTCTCTGTGTAGCTTTGGAGCCTGTCCTGGAACTCACGCTGTAGACCAGGCTGGCCCCAAACTCACATAAATCCACCTGTCTCTGCCTCCCAAGTGCTGGGATGAAAGGCATGCATGCCACCACCACCTGGCATGATGCATAATTTTAAAAGAGAATGTGGCTGTTTAGTGACTAAGCCATAAATAGGTTAAGGCAGGGAGACCAGTCAGGAGGGAAAAGTCTAAGCAGTTTGCACTGAATCAGTGGTGGCAGCAAAAAGGAGAAAAAGACATGGAGATTATAGATTAGTGACAGAGACCATTCCCAATAAGCAGAAAGGCCAGGGTTGATTCTCAAGCAACACACACACACACACACACACACACACACACACACACACGCACACCCACACACACACACGAGAGAGAGAGAGAGAGAGAGAGAGAAGGTCATTATTTCTGTTTTGTATTCTGGAAACTCAAGGGTAGTTTTATTAGTGTTTAAGAAAAAACATAATACAGGTTAGGTAAAAACACCAGCAGCTGCAGGAGAAGGCAGAGAAAAAGTAATGCCTTTTGAGTTAGGCATTAGAAATAGACAGCTTACTTTTAAAAGGGGAGGGGCTGGAGAGATGGCTCAGTGACTAAGGACATTTATTCTTTAAGAAGATCTAGGTTCAGTGCCCAGCACCCACATGGTGGCTCACAACCGTCTATAACTCCAGTTCCAGGGTTTCAGACCCACTCTTCTGACCTCACAAGTATATACATAGCACACATATATTCAGGCAAAACACTTGAATGAATGAATGAATGAATGAATGAATGAATGAATGAAAATAAATAGGAAGGGTTGTAGAGATGGCTCAGTGGTTAGGAGCACTGGCTTCTTTTCCAGAGGTCCTGAGTTCAATTCTCAGCACCTACAGGGTAGCTCACAACCATGTATAATGGGATCCAGTGCCTTTTTCTGACATATAGGTACACATGCAACTAGAGCACTCATACATAAAATACATAAATAAACAAATATGAAAATATTAAATAAATAAATAAATGGGAAAGTACTCCCAAGAATGGAATTAGGCTAGGAAGCTGAGGAAACCCCAAAAGATTGCTTTTTGGGGGTGGGGAGGCAGATGTTGGTTTTTATTTGTTTTTTGGGAGGTGTGTATGTTTTGTTTTGAGACAGGGTCTCTCTACCTAGCCGTGGTTTTCCTAGAACTCAATATGTAGGCTAGGCTAGCCTCCAACTCACAGAGATCCTTTGCTTCTAAAGGTGTACAACATTACACCTGGAAAATAATTTATTTTTTAAAGTGTGGCTGCTCTTGGCCACTAAATCCGAGTATTGGGCGAAAGCCTGGAGATTTGGATGAACCACAAGACTCCTGGTCCTTTTCTGAGAGAATGTCTCTCACCTTTATTGTGGAGCAGCCTTATATACAAACTTACAAAAACCCCAGGTCAAAGGGTTCACAACAGGATATTGCTTCTAGTGGGGTGAGGTCAGGAAAACAGGAGGCACCTGTGGTTATGCTGGAAAACAACTCTTACAGACCCCATGGGGGCTGGTTTCCAACATTAAAGCTTGAAGAAGTAATACTGCTTGTGCAGAGTGCTGATTTTCTCTTGGATCTGCCAGGAAGATATGGACACATTAGGTTTTAGATGCTTCTCAGAAATCCAGGTGGAAAATTTGGGAAGGTTAAGGTCATTTTGGAGCTCAGGGCAGGGCTTACTTTGCTACATGTTCCCACTGTGCCTGGCCACAGGTCCAAAATCCAGGTTACATGGTATGGTGATTTGAATGAGAATGTTCCCCACAGACATTTGAACACTTGGTTCCCAGCTGATGGTGATATTTGGGGAGGTCTAGGAAATAGAACCTCCTGGAGGAAATACATCACTAGAATCAGGCTTTAAGGATTCAAAGCCTTTTTGCCATTCCTGGTTCACTCAGCTTTATGTTTGTGGTTCAGTATATGAGCCCTCAGCTTCCTGGTCTTGCTGCTTTGCCTTCTCTCTGCCATCATAGACTTTAACCCTCTGTAACATTAGCCCAAATAAATATCTTCTATATGTTGCCTTGGCCATGGTGTTTTATCACAGCAACAAAAAAGTACCTAACATGCTTGGTAACCATAGACTGAAACCTTTGAAACAATAAGCCCAAACAAATCTTTCCTTTTTGTAAGTTATTTCAGGGATTTTGTCACTAAAGATAATGAACTCGATACTTTTCAGGTGTCTTCCTTTTACTCTCTCCCGCCTTTTGATAGACCTAACTCAGAACTGAAGTTTTATGATGTTCTCAGCAAGTAACAATTATGTTTTAGCTGAGTGTAGTGGTGATACCTTTAATATCATCACAGGAAGGCAAAGACAGGTAGGTAGACAGCCTAATCTATAGAAAGTTCCAGGATAGCCAGGGATATGTAATAAGACCTAGTCTCAAAACAAAAAGAATTATGTTCTGTGTGTTAAATTTATAGGAGACTAGAATTAGACTAAGCTGTCACAGTAGGCCCAACAGACCAAACCACATAGACTTATGCCTGCAGAAGTTCCATGCCACCAAGCCCAAACTAAGTTATCTGACTGCTTAAGAATGGTGGAGAGGGAGAAAAAGGAAAATGGCCAATTCTAAACATGCCAGTTTTATCTGTCATGATAAAGATATCCTTTCTGCTTTTATCTTTAAAAGGAAACTTACTTTGAAGTTACTAATATATACTTATGACCCCGGGACTTGGGAGGCTGAGGCAATACATCATGGATTTGAGGTCAGCTGAGCTACATAGAGAAATCCTGTCCTTAAAAAAAAATAATTAATCGGGCTGGAGAGATGGCTCAGTGGTTAAGAGTACTACCTGCTCTTCCAAAGGTTCTGAGATAAATTCCCAGCAACCACATGGTGGCTCATGACCAACTGTAATGATATTTGGTGCCCTCTTCTGGCCTGCAGGCATACATGCAAGCCGAACACTCTACACATAATAAATTTTTTAAAAAAATAATTAATCTGCTTTTTTTCTGCTTCTGTTTTCTCCAGCCCTTTTCTGCCTCTAATACCAACTTTGCTCAGTTCATTAGGATCCATCAGTTTTATGGAGAGATATTGCCTAATTTAAGAATCATAAACATCACAGTCATCCTTTAGCCACAGGGAATACCATGATCCCCAATGGATTCATGAAACTGCAGATAGTACTAAAACTTATATGTGCTGTGCATTTCCTCTGTACACATAAACCTATAGTAGAGTTTGTAAATTAGGCACAATAAGATTCACAATGCAAAAACTGAAGGGCCTCTTTTTCCTTTTTCGAAGTTTCATGGTGTGCTGGCTTGTTTTATGTCAGCTTGACACAAGCCAGAGTCATCTGGGAAAAGGGAACTTCAGTTAAGAAAGTGCCCTCACCAGATCAGCCTGTGGTGAATTTTCTTGATTTATGAAGGATGTGTGAGAGCACAGCTCACTGTGGGTGGGGCCATCCCTGGGCTGGTGGTCCTGGGTTCTATAAGAAAGCAGGCTAAGCAAGCCATGAGGAGCAGGCCAGTAAGCAGCATTCCTCCATGGCCTCTGTACCAGTTTCTGCCTCCAGGTTCCTGCCTTAACTGCCTTTGATGATCAACTGTGGTATGGAAATGTAAGCTAAGTTCCTTCCCTCTCCAAGTTGTTTTTGATTGTGTTTTATCACAGCAATAGAAACGCTAAGGCATGGATATATTTGTTCTTACCAAAATCTATATGTATTTATTTATTACTTATACAGTGTTCTGCCTGCATGTATTCCTGCACACCTGAAGAGGGCACCAGATCTCATTACAAATGGTTGTGAGCCACCATGTGGTTGCTGGGAATTGAATTCAGGACCTCTGGAAGAGCAGCCAGTGCTCTTAACCTCTGAGCCATCTCTCCAACCCTGTTCTTACCAAAACCTTAACTTCCACACATTCTTCCCCTTTCCCTTAAGTTGCAAACTTGTACTTTTCACTTAAAGGAAGCACTTTGTGATTTCCTGTTGATATATCAAAATTGCCAGCACCATTTTGAGTACAGTTAAGTGTTACTCATACACAAGCACTACAAGAGTTGATTTGAAAATATCTTAAACCACGTTGCACCTTAGGTAACTGAAACCCCAGAAAAGTGAAGCCTTTAGTAAATGCCATAAAAGCCTGTTAGTATCCTTAAGCTAAACTTCATACTTTTTTTTTAGACAGGATCTCACTGTGTAACTCTGGTTGGCTTGGCATGCAACTATATAGATCAGGTTGGCCTTGAACTCAGAGACCCAACTGCTTCTGCCCTCCAAGTGCTGAGATTAAAGGCATGTATCACCATCACCCAGCCAAAGTTTTGTGCATTTTATTTTTTTAAAGATCTTATTTATTAGGTATACAACATTCTGCTTCCATGTATATCTGCACACCAGAAGAGGGCACCAGATCTCATAACGGATAGTTGTGAGCCACCATGTGGTTGCTGGGAATTGAACTCAGGACCTCTAGAAGAGCAGTCAGTGCTCTTTATCCCTGAGTCATCTCTCCAGCCCACATTTTAATTTTTAAAATTTTGTGTGAATGCATGTTGTGGTTTTAGAGATCATATATTTGCATGTTTAGTCCCCAGTTGGTGAGCTGCTTGGAAGGATTAGGAGGTATGGCCTTGTTGAAGTGTGTACAAGTCCTTGTTGGAGGAGGTGTGTCACTGGGGGTGGGCCTTGAGATTTCAAAAGCCCACACCAGGCCCAGTGCAGAGAGAGAGAGAGAGTGTGTGTGTGTGTGTGTGTGTGTGTGTGTGTGACCAGGCTGGTCTTGAACTCACAGAGATCCACCTGCCTCTGCCTCCCGAGTGCTGGGATTAAAGGCGTGCACCACCAATGTCTGGCTATCTCCTAAGATTCTAAGTGACTTTTTTCTGCTTCTGCTATGTTCAGTTTTTCTAAAATAGACATTTTACTTTTATAAACAACAAATTAGATGAGGGAAAAAGTTACTAGTGCCTAAGGCTCATGATAAAGGGTTTATAGTCTGAACAGTGGAAAGCAGATGAGACATAAATTCTGCTGTGTATTCAAAATAGAGCCTGACACAGCTAAAACACTTTGTAAATATTAACTCTTTACCTGATTCAACAGTCCCATGATAGGTACATTGGTGTAGCAAATGGTAAAATAACACAAAAGATAAAGTTAAGTGTCTATATGCAGAAATAAACCAGGAAAATTTTAAAATTCAGAAATACTATTTATTATAAATTATATTTAAATTAGAAACAATCTTATTTTCCGTTTCCCAATTCCCTCTCCCTCCCATCCTCCCATGCCCCCCACAGATCCCCATCCCATCCCTCATGCTTTCCTCAGGGAGGATGAATCCTTCTATGGGGGATCAAAAATCTGTCAAGACTTTTGGGGCAGGGCCTAGCCGAAGCCACACACACACACACACACACACACACACACACCAGTGTATCTAGGCTAATCTATGCTAAGAGAGCATCCCTCCATGGGGAATGGGCTCCACTGCCAGAGGTCTCCTAGACTTGCTCAGACCTCCTAGCTGACACCCATGCTCAGGGGGCCTGGTTTGGGCCTATGTTGGTTCATAAATACTCTTCTTCTATGCCCTTCCTCTTGAAACAAGATGTCACAGCCCAGACCAGCTTCAAATTCATGATGTGGCTAGCCAAGGCTGGCCTAAAACTCCTCATTCTCCTGCCTCTCCCTCACCTCCTAAGTGCTGGGTTGGGGGTGTGTATGCGGCCTCACACCTGGTCACATCTTCACTTTCTTTTTATTTTGTTTTTGCTTTTCAAGACAGGGTTTCTCTGTATTGCTTTGGAGGCTGTCCTGCAACTCGCTCTGTAGACTAGGTTGGCCTTGAACTCACAGAGATCCGCCCGCTTCTGCCTCCCGGGTGCTGGGATTAAAGGCGGCGCCACTAGTGCCTGGCCACATCCCTTTTACTGAAACAGCATAAACATCTTTCAAGTAGCACAGTCTAAGTGTAATGTGGAAAATACAATGTAATAGCTAACAATGTGGAAACTAATCAAATAAGTAGGTAAGTTAGAAGCAATTAAGAGCTTGAAAAGTGTTTTGATTATGTGTGCCATATTTAATTTCCCATTTTGGAAATATTTACATTTTGCAAAAATGCTTTTGCCCAGTAATACTTTATTTGTTTTTTTTGCTTTTGCTCAATACAGTGCTAGAACATTCCCACTAAGATAGGAGAAAGCCAGTGTCCTAAAATGGAAAGCTTTGACTATCTCTAGTGTTGAACTCTATAGTTTTGGGGAGCCACAAGTTATGCTAGGAGAAGAAGAGCAGTTGTAAACTATGATGTGGTAGATTTCCTTTTGTTGTCAAAAGTAATATGAAGGAGTTAATAAAAGCATATGCCAAAGACCTCTTTTTTTCTTAGTAGGTGTGGTGTTTCCAGAAGAAACAAACAGATCTTCTTATTGCCTTTTATAAGGATAGAATTACAAAATTAGAAGCAGCTGTGAAGGAGGCCCAGCAAACAGTGGCTAGCCAGAACAAGTAAGTACCAAGTCAGACCTCAGCTAGCACCTTTTCTTTCTTTTAGTAAAGCTATAGTCATTTCCAGATGACTGAAAATTGCCCTATGTGCGTTCATGTTTGTCTTAAGAAAGTCAGGTATAGCATGACAGTGTCGGTGAATGCCTTTAATCTCAGCACTCAAGAGGCAGAGGCTAGCAGATCTCTCTGAGTTTAAGGCCAGCCTGGTCTACAGAGCAAGTTCCAAGGCAGACAAAAGATGAGAGAGGGAGAGAGACAGAGACAGACAGATGAGGGGGGTTGTGTGTGGAGAAATGGTTCGGTGGTTAAGAGCACTGCCTGCTCTTCCAGGGGACCTGGGTTCAATTCCCAGCACCCACATGGCAGCTCACAACTGTCTGTAACCAGTTCCAGGGGATCTGACACCAATGCCATAAAATAAAAGTAAACTAATTAAAAAACAAAATAAACCCAAAAGAGTCAGGCACAAGTATTTGGTTATCCCCCTTGGTTTCTGTTAATTTTTTTTCTTCACTCCAAGAACCCGCTTCACCTTTTAGCTTTTCTCTTCTACTTCGTTATATTAAAAAATTATTTCTTCAGTGAAGTCAGATATAGCTCACACTGATAACACTGTTTCTTTGGAGGGGGTTTATTTTGGAAAGTTAAAGCTAAAGACAGAATCCTTGTTGGAAACTTAAAATTTTCTTTAATGCATGTTTATACATGTATATTGTCCTCTGACCTCTACATGCATGCCAGGTCAGATGACAACTTACAAGAGTTGTTTTTTTCCTTCCCATGTGTGGATTCAAGGGATTGAACTCAAGTTATCAGATGTGATAGCAAGGCCTTTCCCTGTAGCACAAATAATAAAAACCCAGAGACAAATATTGGGGTTCAAGTTGAAGATCAGAAAAGCAAAGTGGCCAGCCACTAGAGAGTTCTCACCTCTACCAGTGTTCAGACCAAAGGGGTGATCCACCAAACCCCAAACTGCTCCCAACTGCACTGCTGCTCAGACTCACTGAGACTGCAATGAGTTCCTGTCTTCTTCCACCTTATATTCCTCTCTCCGTAAAGCCAAATCACTCCTGTCTTCACCTCCCTAGGGCTGGGATTAAAGGCATGAGCTCTGTTCTCTTTTCAACTGATTCACTCTCATATAGCCCAGGTTGGCCTTTAACTCACAGAGATCATCTGCCTGTTTTCCTGAGTGCTGGGATTAAAGGTGTGCACCACCTCTGTCTGGCCTCTGTGGCTAACTAGTATGGCTAGCTTTACACTCTGATGTTCAGGCATGTTTTATTTGTTAGATCATAAACAAAATACCACATTTCCTCACTGAGCCATCTCAAAGGCTCAGTTGTTAGAACCTTTAGATACCAACAGTCCAAGAGTGTGTATGAAGAAGAAATGGAATTCTATGTAAAAACCCTTTAAAGTCATACCAAGTGACTGCTTATTTTGTTCACTTGTATTCATCATCAAAACCCTGCCACCTTCTCTCTGAACCACCAGATCCCCGATGGAAGTTCCTTGTATGTCTGCAAACACCTCTCAGTAAGCATTAACTAAGATGTTGATAATAGTAATAATTTTTATCCTAGTGACCTGGACCTGATTGTTTCCATCTTTTGCCTAGAGAGCTATCAATCTTGAGAAAGGAGAATGGAGAACTGAAGAAATTTCTAGCCATCCTAAAGGTGAATAAAATAGATTTCATTTATTTATTTGTTTTGGTTTTGTGTTTCTAGGCATCAGTCAAACTCAGGACTTTGTACATGCTAAATAAATGCTCTATTACTGAGCTAGATCCCCAGGGGTCTTACTATGTAGTTTAAGCTAGCCTAGAACTTACCATTGTAGTCCATGCTGGCTTTGAACTCAGGATCCTTCTGCCCCAATCTCCTGTGTGTGAAGACTACCATCTGTGCCACTGTGCTCAGCTGAAGTTGGTTCTCTCTCTCTCTCTCTCTCTCTCTCTCTCTCTCTCTCTCTCCGAGACAGGGTTTCTCTGTGGCTTTAGAGGCTGTCCTGGAACTAGCTCTTGTACGCGAGGCTGGTCTGGAACTCACAGAGATCCCCCTGCCTCTGCTTCCCGAGTGCTGGGATTATGTGCACCACCAACGCCCGGCTGACGTTGGTTCTCTTTACTATTATTTTATCTCCCATCAGTCCATCTTTCTAGCTGGCTATATAAAACAGTGCTTCCCAGTAAGCTTATAGTGTTTGTACAATAGATACACTGTAGTAAACAAATAAGGGTACAGAAGACCTTGGAGAGGTGAGAACATCAATATTTTTGATCCATTCTGAAATGTCAGAGAGTGATGCTATAACTGATAGGAGGATCTCATCAAAAAGCGCATTTCAACTTAATATTTCTCTTGAAGAAGTCTAAGATGCCTCAAGACCCTTTCCTTGTTGTTTGATATTTTTGTCTTGTTTAGTTTGAGATTGATTCTAAAATAGCCCAGGCTTTGTACTCTTTTAAAAATCCCAAAACTTTTATTTATTTATTTATTATTATTGTTAGTGTGTATGTACATTAATGTATGTAAGATGTGTGATATGTAATGTGTGTGTATGTGCAGGTGGCAGTCATAGGGTAGCTTTAGGGAGTCAGTTCTCTCTTTCCACCATGGGAATGAGGGATCAAAAGCCAGTCGGGTTTAGGCAGCAAGCATTTTTACCCCCTGAACCATCTCACTGAACCTGACTTTGAACTCTTTATATACTCAAGAGTTGCCTGAAACTCCTGAGCCTCCTGCCTTCAATTCCTTAGTGCTGAGATTGCAGGTATGTGCCACATGACTAGCTCCTCAGTATGCTCTTACGAAAGAAACTAAATTTTTATTCTCTCAAAGCTAATAATTTCCTGAGGAAATACTTTTTTTTTGTCCTCCTGTTGGCAGCCTTAGCTAAGGGAGCTTGCAGATAAATTATCTAACAATAAGACTGATAGCCATTTATTACAGCCTTTACCTGTAACTTCCGTCACTTCCATGTTTTCACCTACAGGGATCTCCAAGCTGCTACTACGGAAGCAGGTCAGTTTTTACCACACTAGCCCTCTACCTTGAAATTTTCTGATTTGTTCTTCAAAACATATTTAGTTGTATAATTGTATATACCTGTATGATGATATGTGATACATGTGTGCCATGTGTAGTGATCAAGTTAAAGTACCTAGCATTTCTCTCTTCTGAATCCTTAACCATGTTCTTATGTTGGGATGCTTTTGGCTTGTTTTTTCAACCTCCACTTGTGTGGTCTCCAAGCTGGATAAAATGGTTGATGAATTTGTCTTTTCCTTTTCTCTGACAGAAGTGAAATCTTTTTGTTTTATTTTTGTGGTACTGGGGGCTAAGGTCTTCTGAGTATTTACTACGCTAGTGTACTCAAGAGCTCCCTCTTTTTTGCTTTTTAATGAAAGGAGGATCTCACTGTGTAGCTCTGGCTGGCCTGGAACTCACAGAGTTCTGACTGCATCTGCTTCCTGAGTGCTGGGATTAAAAAGGTGTATGCCACCTTGCCCCCTCATGCAGCCCTTCTGGTCCCCCTTTTTTTTTGGGGGGGGGTTCGAGTCAGGGTTTCTCTGTGGCTTTGGAGGCTGTCCTGGAACTAGCTCTTGTAGACCAGGCTGGTCTCGAACTCACAGAGATCCACCTGCCTCTGCCTCCCGAGTGCTGGGATCAAAGGCATGCACCACCAATTCCCGGCTTAGTCTTCTTTCAAGTTTCTGTATTTTATATATCCATTATAATATATAAATATCGTAGTGCTGGGGTTCTTTTTCTTTGTGGTGCTGGAATATCAAATCTCTGGCCTTGGTAAGCAAGCACTCTACCACTAGGTTTTCTCCAGGACTGATTCTTATCTTTTCTCTTAGTAGCCTATGAATCTCTGGTAGCTAATTGATTTAATCTCAAGGCATAGGACATAGACATATTTTATATATATATATTTGTTGAATGGATGGCTAAATGAGTGTATGGTGAATAGATGAATGAATCAGTAGATATAAGGTTGAGAGTATTTGTAAGAAGCTACAGGAAGGAAGGAAGAAAAGACTCCAGAGTTACATTATGAATGAGAGAGAAGTGGAGGAAGGTTCCCCTGGGGAATTGGAGAGTAAAGAGATCTCAGAATGCAAACTTGGATTCTGTATGTTGGAAATAAGTACTCTGTGCTTAGAGAAACTACTGTTTTGTTATTTCTTTTTCCTTCTTCTTACCCCATCTTTCAAAAGGAGATTTTATTTTTAATTGTGTGTGTGTGTGTGTGTGTGTGTGTGTGTGTGTCCCTGCCCACAAAGGCCAGAAGAGAGCATTAGATCCCCTAGAGCTAGAGTTAAAGGCAGTTGTGAGCAGCCAAATATAGATGCTCAGAAATGAACTGGAACCCTCTGCAAGAGCAGTACCTGCTTTTAACACCACTGAGCCATCTCCTGAGCCTCAAAGCTACTACTGTTGGCTATAATCAGTGACTGACTGACTCTCTAATGTGGTGTTGCTTCTGCTTGATGAGACCAGAGCTACCTTTTCTTTCGTTTCCTTGTAGATTAACCACACCTCGACCAGTGGGCATTACTTCCCCGTCACAATCAGGTGAAAAACCAATTCTTTCCAGCTACTTGTGTGAAATGAATAAATATCTTTTCCTCAAATGGAAATTGTTGTTTTTTCCCAGAGACCATAATATGATTTTGCTAATCTTACATATAGTGTGAAAAACATGATATAACCAGATAAGTACCCAAAACAAATTAGCCAGACAAGGCAGAGTGTACCACTGATGGCAAATTTTTCCTAAACTCTGTGATCTTGCAGTTGCTCCACGCCCAAGTTCACAGCATAGCAGCCAAGTGGTCAGGTGAGTAGAAAGCCTGATATTCAACATTAAAACTGTTGACAAAGTTGGAAGATGAATGTGGTACTTAAGAGAATTACTGCCATGTCAAATTTGACACCAGTTTTTTTGTGTTTTTGTTTTTTTGCATTCTTGTTTTGTCTCATTTTATGTAGTCGCTCTTCTTCTATGGAGTCCATCCCTTATACAGTGCCTGGCTTTGGTAATGTGGAACAGGTAAGTAATAGTCACATTATTTTTCTATATTGAGGTTTCTAGTGCTTAATGAAAGCATGGCTGTAAATCAGACATCTTAAATTTGAACTAGGATTGGAATGTAAAAAATAAATTAATAAAAATGTTAAAAATGTTTTCATGTCATGTGAAAATATTTCTAAATATTAGAAAATGACACAGAATCAAGAGGAGTGATGATAGTGTAAGCCTTCAAGAATTAAATACACAGTATTGGTCATGTTCAGTTTGGAAATAATAGAGCACAGGTCCTTAAGAGTAGTATGCACAATCTGGGAGAACAATGTGTGTATGATGAATGATTACAGAGAAACAGTGGGGAGTTGGGAATGTAGAGAACCAGGGAATAATAATTCATGGTCATTATTTTTCTGTCAGGGAAGAGGCCTTCAGGAAAGGAGCACTCCCAGAGACTCTTACACTGGTGAGAGAGGGTAGGGGAAGGTATCTGAAGCCAGCATATTCTGGCCAGAGACTAGAAATTTCTATGCACAATATGTGTTCTATGTACAATAATATAATGTGTTTTACTTTTTTTCTAGAGAATGATTCTAGGTACACAAACATGAATTACAGTTTTCAAGTAATGGTACTTCTGTTCTGAAACAGATAGTGAGAAAATAAAAATGGAGTGATAGTCATTGAAAATCTGATCAAAGGCTGGGGCTTGGCTTAACGAGTAAAAGCCTTCTAACACGAGTTTGATCCCCCAAACACAGAGAAAGGTAGAAGGAGAGAACCAACTAAAAACTTGTCTTCTGGCCTTCACTTGTGTACGTACACACACACATACACATACTTACATACATACATACATACACACACACACACACACACACACACACAC